ATGGTAAAGGTCGCGGGCTGAATTAAAGCCGAGAGGCGATGTAAGAAAAATCATTATCCAGATAGTTGGACGTCGCGAGCGGCCACGAGCGAGAGGCCAGAAAGAGAACTCAAGGCTAAGGAGGGAAGCAGTTTCTGTTGACAAAGACGTCCGCGTGGACGTTTCTTCCTCTTCTCGTTGTTTCCCCTTCTTCGGGAAGTTTGTCAATAGTATACGTCGACGGGCAAGCCGTTACCCGTTGCATTCGTTGCGAATCGATCGCGACAGCCCGCGACCAGAAGCGACCAGCTCGAGAACGCGACGAGAAAGTGCAAAATACTTTGATCCCCGCCTCGAGGGCCGGAATGGCTCAAGTGCAGCCGGTGGGGGAGTTTTTTTTTCTTTACTTTAAAGAGACGTCCCAGTGCCAGGGTGGAGGACCCCGATGCACTTGGAGAGACGCTAAGAAGGGGCGGGTGCGGTGAAACCCTCGCCAACAGGGATTGGGGTGGTCTCAAAGAAAAGAACTACTCGCGCTGCCGAGACGCTCTCCTGACAGGGCTTGACCCTTTTTTTAATTGCATCCAGACCAAAGTTAGAAACAGCGAACGGTGCCTTCCTCGACCGACACACCAACACCCTGTAAACGTATTGGTCACGAACAAAAACAATAAACCAAACGGGACTTTCTTTGGGGGCGGTTCATTCAACGTCCAAATTACACGCTCTGCATCGAACTCGGTCTTCTGTATACTTCGCAATCTAGAATTTCTCTTGAATGAGACAAATATAAAATGTTACCCTTCGAGTATGAAATGTCCAAATTTTCAGATCCACAAATTTTCAAATCCGTAAATTTTATCTTCTTGAATTTTCGCACTCGTGCATCCCTGAACTTCGAAGCAACCAAGTAGAATTTAAAAACCAACCCCCAGTAAATTTGCCAGCGACCAGGGAATAATCTGTTTCCGTTAGATCGCCATTTTATCCAGAATAGTCCTCGTCATTGTACATGTCTCTTCTGGTCGTACGTTAGAAGGAAACGATGGAATGCAAAATATGTGGGTCAGGGTCGTGCTTTAAAGCATCCAGTTCGTTTCCTTTTTTTCTCTCACTCGCCCCTTGTCCGCCGTATCCCTCCAGTCTCTTTTTTTTCTCTGTTCTCAAATCCGACTTTAATGGGCTCGTGCCGGCGTATTACACTTTTGATATTATTAGAGAGAGAGAGGGAGAGAGAGATTTTTGCCGAGAATCAGGGATTAGAATTGCTTGGACGGTCTCCCCGGTTTGCGAAGGGCTTCCTCTCCGCCTACGTCTTTAATGTTCATTAACAGTTCGTTCGGTTAATCGTGTTTGAGAGTAAGCTCGTGCAATTATTTCCTCGGATAATTGGGACCCGTTAACAGAGGCGAATATAATCTCTCTGCTTCTCTTATTGGGGTTTATGTTGTTACTGGTTATTTCTACAATGAATTTATAAATATATTCGGATATGTATTGGATTAGAATTTGTGTTGGAATATTTGGGAGATTTTGTTTCTATGAAAAAAGTATGAGTGCTCGTTATCGGTTGACCCTTTTTAAGGGTGTTATATTTGAACATTATCACGCATCTAGGTTTGCCGGGCGCCGAAGTTTCTTGAATGAGCGTTTTATCGATTTTGTCGAACAACGGAACTACTGCCAACAATAAAAGCAACATTCGCGTGACTTGGATGCGTTTCCAGTTGCAACATACGTGTACTACGTATTTATATGCAACCAGTTAAATTTGCTAAATAGGCTATTAATAAATACGTACGAGCCCATTTACGAGTGCACTTAATTTGTTCCTTCCCACCTTTCACACGCCTCAATTAAAATTTTTCTCTTTCAGTATTTCTCTTACTTTGCAAATTCTTAATATTTCGAACGATCGATTTTATCGAGTTTTCACCGTGTCGTTAAAAATAGCGTCGTTTCAGATTCAACAATCGATTCGTCTATTGCTTTCCTCCAACTTATTGAAGAACTTGTATTTCTTTCAATTGGTCGGAATAGTACGTGATCGATAAGTTACTGTCAGATTGCAAGACGAAAACTAGGCGGACGGAATGAATTTTGCACGCGTTACTTTCTTGGTATTTGGGATCTGGAAAAAAGTAAACAAACTGGGTCAGCTGAAAAAAGTGATCTAAATCGATATCCTTAATAGTCTCGTTAAAAGTTTTACGATATGGAACCAGATTGCATCACTTCATAATTCATCGAGAACACGAAGGGAAACGTAGAATATTCATTTCCGTTTTATCTTTAACCATGTTTCTGTTCTCATTATTTTTTTACCTCCGACTACATTGTTCAACGTTTTACGTTTCTCCATTTTCGTTACAGGTTTATTTTACAGAACCTTCATATCGATAACAGGGAAAAATTCGCGATGAAAGTAAAATAGCTGTTCTTACGTCATTGCATTAACTTTTAGATCGCGAGTATATTCTCGTACAAGTAATTGCTTATTTACATAAACGTAGAATAACGCTATAATATCGCTGCTCAATTATGTAGACGCTTCTTATCTAGATCGAGCCATAAAAAACAATATAAATCTTGAACCGCGTATGTTCGTTGTCCGAAAGGTCTTCGTACGAAGTAAGCGCTCGCGAGTTCCGAGAAACCGGAAACACGCGAAGTCGAGGGAAGAATCTATAAAGCGACTTTCATAAAGCACTCGTAAAAGTTTAATGTGCTGACTTCAATATGAATGAAAGAGACATAACATCTTTATTCTGTATATACACACGAAAATAACAGAACAGTTTATACAGATTGTTCTATAAAATGTGACCACAATTTCAAGGATGAACTCAACGAGGAAAAATTCTTATCAAATATCCGAAGCGATCTCATCTCACCGAGCAACCTTTCGTATCGTTAAATATATCCTTGATACGCAACATTTTTGCATTTATTCTGAGGTACATAATAATTTAGCTTTTGAAACCCTACTATTTATAATTCTAATTAAAGCTTCTAATTTATAAAGCAAAATTTGCAGAAATGATATTGGGGTCGATTTACAATGGGGTTTATTTTCCTACTCTTTGAGGTTAGGTTAAAAACTGTCCCACCTTCCATGCTGGGTAACCTTTTCGTGTTAAATAATAAAAATGAACGTTTTGTAATTTTTTTGTAGTAAAAGTCTGATGAAATATATTTCTTTGAAACGTGCCTCAAAGGTTAATAAATGAGATACGCATTGAAGGGTGCCGATCGAAAAGCGACGTAAACATTTATACGAGTCTTCTCATTCCGGCATGTTAAATTCATCCCTGAAGTTGTGATTGCTTGCGAAACACCCTGTGCAAGAGCCATCGAATTTCCATGAAGCAATCCGTTTCCAGTTCACCGGGAGGGTGGTCTTAAGCTTTTGATCGCTACTGCACACCTTCTCTCGTTTTCATTTGGGGTTTAAGTCGGTAGTTTTGTTCCCACCCTGAGTATCGAGTTAGAAATAGAATTCCGTTCGAAACGGTAGGTTGAACGAGGCGACGTGACGGGGTAAGACGAAGAAGATATCGAGGCGATAAATTGATGCAGACGACGTAACAGGGTTTTGCTCGACAACGTTCCCCGTTCCTCTCTTTGTCGGGCTCGTTGTCAGCCAAAGGGTTTCGACGCGAGTCAGACGATTGCGTAATAAATCGCTGTTTAAGCCCGTGGAATCAGCTACGCTGCGTAGAATCTGTCCGTTTATGAGAAAATCTGCAAAGGACGCGAGCTAGACGCGATTCAGCCGCGGCTTTAATAAACCGCTGAAGCGAACCAGACCGCAGGTCAATTTACGCGGCTTAGGTATGCCTTATATGCATCCTATAGTTACGATATAAATTGGTAGGCGACGTGCGGTAATTATGCAACTTTTCGCGATATCAAAAGGTCTTGCACTTAACACTCTAATCGCAATACTTATCACCGCTAATTCCTTCAAATTTATCGAGATCGTTTCGTGGATATTTAACGCTCTAACGACCGACGTCACGTGCATATTTAACGACTTCGGAATTTTTTACCGTAAATTACGCAGACATTCTTTGAACGAGAATTACCGATATCAAAAGTGCTCTCCCAAATACAAATCCGCAATAACCGAGTTGCGAAGCAGAGATATTACAGAGGGTCAGGTCAGCCTTTACCCCATTGCCACCGTCGCGATATTCAAGAAACTTCCGCGCGGAGTTGAATCTCAATCGCGAAACGTTATTCCACGATGATTAATATGCTGCTCGAGTGCAATTTGCGACAGTTTTTACGGTGTAACCGTCAAGCAACGTGTACGCTATTCGATATCCGCCCAAAGAACGCATAACACGAATTTCCTTTTAAGACGACGGCACGTTACGCTCTTAGATTCGTATTATCGGAAAAATAAGAATCTTCGGTGACTGTGGAGCCGTTAAAGGGAAACAGAACGTAGTACCAGTTCGTAGATATTCGCGGACGAATCGAGGAGAGACTCGTTCCTTATTCGTATACAGTTCGGTCTCGCTATATGGCCTTAGAAACTTAAACTTTTTAAATCTTACATTTTCAGATTTTTCAAATATAATTTCAGATCCACAAGTTGGATCCACAAGTTATTTTCTCAAGTTCATAAAATTTTAATCTGAAGCTTACAAATTTTAGCACCGTAGGTTTACAAATCTTAAATTCCCAAATTTACAAATTTTATATTTTCAAGTTTGTAGGTTCATAAATTGTTGCATTTAGATCAATGTAGAAGAATGGAAATTTCAGATATTCAAAGTTCCGAATTTCTATATTTAGAAATGTAGAGTTTCCAAATTTATAAACTGTGTATCGTAGAGTGCTGCGCGTTTTGGCAAGTGAACGTATAGTAGCAGAATGTGTTTGCATGCGCGTCGAGGGCCATATAGCGAGACTCCGCTGTAGTAAAAGTAATCGATGCAGAATTAGAGACAGTAGATATCGTCGAGAGTCGCGATTAACCATTTCCCCACCGATGTCTATCTTTCCGAAAGACCCTGAGAACACGGAGGCGGCGGATCTGCAGAGGAAGCTGGAAATGCTGAACAACATGATGGACCAGGAAGCAAGAGCCGAACAGGCACGACGACAGATATTGTACAATATAGGCCACTGTAAGTACTCGTCAACAAGCCACTGTTTAAGTGGCTGCTGTTTTATTCGAATGACTCCTCTGACACGAGAGGAACGTTCCCGATCAATTGTTACACTTGACTCGATTCGCTAACGCAGTCGTTGCTTGCGCTAATTTCATATTCCTTTACGTCCTGGTTTGTCCCGGATACATTGTTACGATTAAATCGCTGTTCTCATTGAATCAATGAGAAATAGACGTGCCAGAACGTGTCACGAGTATTTCGTTCATTCATACTGCACTTTGGAACCAACGTCCTTCGCAGCCTTCGAATATTTCAACCCTTAACGTTCTTCTATAATACAACATTAACAAATATTGACTTTTATGAATACGTTTCGTGCAACATAATGCTTTCGAACATTAAGGGCTAAATTTCGAAGGAGTTTGATCACGTTCAATATTCAACATGCAGTATTTTAGCACCAAGTTGACCCTTGAACAAAATTATTCTTATCGTGAAATTTAGATCTTAAGAGCTTATTTAAAATCAGGTCAAAAAGAAAATTGGATTGTGTACCGACAGAAATATTTTCATTGGATATTATAATACAGTAACTAGAAAATGTCAGTAAGACATCCTTCTGTTTTTATTTGCAGCCGTATTTTCTGTCGATAATGTATGTATAGTTTTCGAACAAAAATTAGCATACTATTTGAACGTAAAGCTCCGGTCAACAGCACGCCATTGCAGTTACGTTTCCGAGAAAATTATTTTGTGCATAGAAAATCGGTATTTAATTGCTACATTGTTCATGGGTCAACTGAGATTATAAATTTAAGCATACGCAGGCGCAACTATAATTTGAACACAGTAGTTACGTCGATTACAGCTCTCTCTCTTTCGTAGAAGCTTTCATTCCCGGTATTCAGGACGAATTTGTTCGAACGTTATTCTCGAACAGCTAGCAGAGGTTTTACGCTGCCAGCTTTTCGCATAAAAATCGATTCGACGTAATGCTAGTTTTTCACCGCGATCAGCGACCATAACAGCGTTTTATACGGTCGCAATTGCATTATCCACGGAGTGTGCACGTGGGGTATTTTCATTTAATAAGCACAGTCGAAACGCCACCCCTATTGCGGTTATCGACCATCGAGCGACGTCGGTAACTTACCCCATCAAATCTGAACCCTCGTTCAAAGACCAATCTATCATTGGATCATTGCAACCCTGGCATGATAATACTTTAACAATCAACATCTCTTTCTTTCTTTCTCCGTAGAAGAATTTATCGATCTGCCCATTTTTGTTCTCCCCGCGGGTCTCTGTCTCACGAAAAGAACTTCTTTGAACATATCAAACATACCACGACACGAACGAACAAATCGCATGGACATCAATCGTTTCTCTCTCCCGCTGTTGCACTCTTTCAATTTTTCGGATTCGTCCAATATCGACCAATTCTCCGTTTCGACGAACCTTCGAAATTATCCGCGATCGATCGTCGTGCGTTTTCTAGAAACGAGGCGTGCTTCTAATACCGGTATTTTACCGCAAGATGAAAAGAGAAAGAACGCGAGACTCATCGTGGTTCATTCCCGATACACTTTCGACGATATATTTATCGTGCTAGGGGATACTTTTTTTAACAAATTTATCTCTGCATCGTTATATATGTATTTTGATTTTATTCGCAAGGGAAACTGTGTTGCTTCGAACTTGATTAGTCCGTACAAGGAAGAGCGATTTTTAATCTGAGCACGAGCTAGCGAATTAAGTACATGATTCTTTGCATCGAGAGATACGAGCCTGGCGATTGTTTCGAATGAAAGATTTGCCTTGTCTTGTAGCAGAGCATTAAACTCGAATTGCCTTTCAGCGGGTTACTCAGAGGATTCGGACTATACGTCAGACCTGAATTATCCAGTAGGCGGACAGGGTGCAAACAGCTCGGCTTCGCAGTTTCGTACCGCTGCCAACCAATTGGCTACCCCTCAAAGATCTCTCGAGACCTCGAGAGAAAATAGCTACGAGAGGGACGATCATCAGGTATTGCTTCATCGATACTTCGTTGCCCTGTTTATTAATTACGAAACTTTGGAATTGTTTAAACCCCTATGGACTCTAACTTTTATCTTAGAAATTCCTTTTCACGCGAGTTTAATGTTTTGTAACATTAAGCCAATTACACGTTTCACAACGGGTAGAAATTACAATTTGCGTTTACAGTAGATTCTCGTTACAATTACCGTAGACGGGATGGTAAAAGTGGAAATTATTTGGCATTGCACCGGGTTGGTAATGCAACCGGATAGCCAAAACGTGTTCCTCCCTAACCCTTTGCGTTCGAAGTTTTAAAATGTCCCTCGGAGGAGACGGCCGAGCGCAAAGGGTTATTACGACGATTTGCGCGGATTGTCATGGTCTACCATCGGCGATGTAACGAGAGTTTGCCGTGGTTTGTAGCGTGAAGTTGTAATTCCCCGAAGAAACTTGTTCGCGAGGATCGATGTTTCATTAATTTTATGTGCCACCAGATTCCAGCCACAGTCGGAGGAAGACTAGCTCCAAGCAATTACGGAACTTACGGTGGATCGGGACACAGTCCACGTTACGACGAACCATACCCAGAAGAAGGTCCACCGCAAAGGTATTCTCAGTCTCAGCACGCTTCAGAATCTTCCGAGCCACTCTTCTACAATAGTAGACCAAGACACTATAAGGAATACAGGTATTTGACATTTACCGAGCCTTAAAACACAAATATACTACACACCGAATATAGTACGAACACGTTACAACGATACTTCTTCCTTTGATTAATTACTTCTGCTGTTCGATTACAACAAGTAGTTTCTTTCTCTCTCTATTTCTCCTTCTTCTTCTGCTGCTGCTGTTCAATTTTTAAATTATAACCCCGTTATACGATTCCAATATTGAGAGTCGAGGATCAACAGGGTCGTGCACGGAGTCGAATTGCTTCGAGTAATCTTAGCCGAATTTCGAATAAAGCGAAGATATTCATAAATCAATCATTTAAACATAAGTTCATAAAAAATTATTTAAAATTTGAGAGAAACATATGAACTTAAATTTTACTTGAAATCAATGTTTCAAATAAAGGTGCCTTTGTCTCAAGAATTATCCCTTATTCATCAAACAATTTGCTTTCACTCAAAGTTTTCATTATAAGAAAACTTTTCATTACAATTTTCAGTATCTTCAAATGTCTTCAATTTATTCGAAACTTTTGTCTCACGATTATTTTAAAAAATACCTAACTGATGCTATAAACTTAATTTAAAAATACATGTACAACGTTGATCGTATCCAATTAAAAAATCTTTGTTTTCTCTGCCTGAGAAGCAGAGTGCATTCGGAATCGATATAGAATAAATCGAATAAAGATACTTGTACGACCCTGATCGTATCGCGATGTGTCCGAAGAACAAATCGTTTATTGTTTGTTTTGTTTGCCTGATTTAGAAGACGGAAGCACACGTGGGATTACGAGGACAGGTACGAAACGAGTACCCCAACTGTCTCGTGAGAAAAATTCTACGACCTTTCATATTTCACATGTCCTTCATTTTGCTTTCTCATTAGCCCGTCACCGTTAGTTTCGAAATTTCACAGCACCGACAAAGTGGACTTCATGCGCGACAACATTGCACACAGACACCCATAGCTGATCACGGAATAGCTCTAGTATCTCGACTTTTAATAGTTGTTAGTATCTTGTTTACGTTCCTTGACAAGCTGAACTCGTTAGGAGAAACGATGCGAAGGGAATTGTCGTAGGTTAGGATAATAGTTTGCGCTCAATGGGTTATGAAGAATGCGACGAGCATCCACAGGTAGTTGCATGGTGCAGTTAGTGGCGCTGCGATAGTCGGGTGATCGTTGAAAATGTCTTTTAACAAAGCGTATCGCTCGTTTTCCGGCGAACGTTGTCATTTCGCGCGGGTCATTTCATCTCCGCCTCTATCTACCGCGATTATTACGATTTCGCTTCATCGTTGTTCCGTGATTTCAGCCAAGACGGCTGGTACAGCGAGGGTTACGACTATCACGGCACGAGAGTCGACGAAACGAGGATCTACAGCGATACCGAGTACTATCCGACCACTACGAGCTCCTCCAGGCGAAGAGGTATGATATTACCCTGCTGTACGGACACGTATATCCCGGCTGTTTTCTCAACAAGAATGAATACGTGACTGCTTTTGTTCCACGTAAACGCGCCACGAAGCGCGTTGCTTTTCGCCCGCGTGTAAGAAACGTCTACGGAAGATTGTAACGTGCTTCTTTTTCTATTGTGCGCGTAAACAGGCCCTCATAGAAGACCGTCTTTGGAGAGACAGATGACTTTATACGACGACCACTCTTATTATACCGATGAATATAGCAGCGACGGGAGAGTAGGGAAAATGAGTGCCACGTATCCCGAATGCCAGACGGATATCAGATACAATGAGTACTACGATACCACCACGGGATACGGATATCAAGATGAAAGGTAAGTGTCTCCAATGTTATCGGCTGAACTAATGGGCTGCAACGTAGAATTTCCAACAATTATCGTCGAGGCGAATTTATGTCATTACGTTGTCGAATCAAATATTTCAACTGCGTCGAAATTATTTCTTGACGCAATTAAACGCTATAAATATCAGAAGATTTACAGAGACGCTTTTGTTGAGGGAAGCCTGCGTTGCGGTCGAGTGTACACTGGTCCTTCTCGCTTTAATTATTTAACCTCGAATATGTCAGTAGGTACGGTCAAGATGACGAGGACAGGCAATGGGACAGCGGAGGGAAATGGTACCTAGGAAGTAGTACCTATTACGAGAATAAAAGGAATAGGAAAACGCTTCCCCAGAGGCCTGCATCTAGTATCGGTATTCATCGACCTGACTATAGACCAACAGTTACCAGACAGCGCAGCTATGAATCGGAGGAACTGAATTACAGGTATTATCTTAATTTCCATTCGCATAAATATTAATGGAGTTGCAAACGAAACATGAGCGGTCGTGTTTGTGTCCGCAGTAGTCACAGTACTCGTCGTAGAAAACCGCTTCAACCGCAGCAACGACCGTCGTCCAGGCAAGAAGGGACGGGAAAGAAACTACCTCCGACACCAACAACGCCAAGCAACGTTATTATCAGCCGTAAGCTTGCCTCCTTACCTGCCACACCGAGCAGGCAACTGCCAAAGACTAGAACTCCTTCCGAGGAGAGCTACTACAAGTCTGACTACAACGAGGACTATAATTACGCTTATCGCAGCCAAGATAACTTACCTCAGGATACCTACATTGACAGTATATATAGCGAGCAAAGTGGTTACGACCAGATGCACGTGCCTGGCAAAACTCAATATGCCGAGGATAGTCAATATGGGTCCAGTTACACGCCCCAGGTCGATGACCATTACGGTCGTTCGTATCAAGAGCCACAGACACAGGATACGTACGATCAAACGTATTTACAGAACTCGTACAAGGACGAGTATCAAAAGCCTTACGTGGAACAAAACACTCAGGTTTATCAGGATACGTATCAGGACATGACATATCCGAACGCGAGCCAGCCGAACGATCAGTACGCTAGCCAGCCCAACGATCAATACAGGAAAACGAGCAGGGACATGATAATCGAAGATAATTATCAGGTGATGAGCTACGATAAGAACAACGTGCAGTATCAGGACAGGACGAAGGTTCATTCGTACAAGGAAGATACGTATCAGGAGCAATACGACGATTACAGCGTGTCCGTACCGGCGAGTGTATACGACCAAAACAACGTAACGAACACGTATAATCAGTATCAACAAGAGCAATACGATTCTCAGTACAATATAAATACGTCGACCGGTTATCAGAAGTCTTATCCGGACACGTACAATCAGGAGACCTACAACAGAGACGTCTACGATCAGGATACGTACAATCAGGACACTTATAATCAGGAATCTTACAAGCAGGAGCCATACAATCAGGAATCTTACAAACAGGACACCTACAAGCAAGATACTTACAAACAGGATGTCTACAAACAGGACGCTTACAAACAGGATGCGTACAAACAGGATGTCTACAAACAAGATGCCTACAAACAGGATGCTTACAAACAGGATGCCTACAAGCAGGATGTTTATAAAGAGGACACTTACAATCAGGAAACCTACAACGAGGATACGTACAAACAGGAACCTTACAAGGAGGAGCCCTATAAGCAGGACACTTACAATCAAGATGGCTATATCCAGGACACATACAACCAAGAAACGTACAATCAGGGTACGTACAATCAGGAAACGTACGGTCAGGATACATACAGTCAAGACACCTACAACCAAGTACCCGTTACGTCGCAAAGCAATTACGAAGATGCCTACAGTAAACCGCAGAAAGACTACGTGGATTATCAGACACCGTACAGTAAAGAGGAGCCCGTTACAACGTACAAGAACGAGTACGAGGATCAGTACCAAGACTATCCCGATCAATACGAGGAGTCTTATCACGATTCCTATCAAGGGTCGTTCGAGGAGCGTTACAAAGACAGTCCATCGGGCAGCACGGAAAGGAGACCGAGCGAAGTTCCAGAATTGTCGGTGACAACACCGAGGGGTCAGACCAGAGCGAACGGCTACCAATCGAGCGAGTCTGACTATTACTACACGTCGCAGGAAAGTCAGGACGTGTCGTCGACGGGTGTACCCAGGAGGAAGAAGCTCGAGAAACGCGAAGCTAGTCCTCTAGTCCAACAGAACACCGATTCTTTGGAATCTAGAGACGACGAGCTGAAGGAGTCTATCGAAACTGCCGTGAGTTCGATCAGCAGCATACCTCAGAAAAAAGGAATCAGCGACTATTCGACGGCAGGCGATTCCAGTCCTGCTGCCCCTACTTTGGTCGAGTCCCCGCAAAGTACGGTGCAGCCTCCGACGACGATGGTCAATCACGTCACGTCCAATCACGTTACGACCAGCATGACGGTCACGGCGATGGTGCACACCACCACCACGGCGAACGGGAAACGCTTGACCAGGTGCTTATAAACAGGACACCTACAAGCAAGATACTTACAAACAGGATGTCTACAAACAGGACGCTTACAAACAGGATGCGTACAAACAGGATGTCTACAAACAAGATGCCTACAAACAGGATGCTTACAAACAGGATGCCTACAAGCAGGATGTTTATAAAGAGGACACTTACAATCAGGAAACCTACAACGAGGATACGTACAAACAGGAACCTTACAAGGAGGAGCCCTATAAGCAGGACACTTACAATCAAGATGGCTATATCCAGGACACATACAACCAAGAAACGTACAATCAGGGTACGTACAATCAGGAAACGTACGGTCAGGATACATACAGTCAAGACACCTACAACCAAGTACCCGTTACGTCGCAAAGCAATTACGAAGATGCCTACAGTAAACCGCAGAAAGACTACGTGGATTATCAGACACCGTACAGTAAAGAGGAGCCCGTTACAACGTACAAGAACGAGTACGAGGATCAGTACCAAGACTATCCCGATCAATACGAGGAGTCTTATCACGATTCCTATCAAGGGTCGTTCGAGGAGCGTTACAAAGACAGTCCATCGGGCAGCACGGAAAGGAGACCGAGCGAAGTTCCAGAATTGTCGGTGACAACACCGAGGGGTCAGACCAGAGCGAACGGCTACCAATCGAGCGAGTCTGACTATTACTACACGTCGCAGGAAAGTCAGGACGTGTCGTCGACGGGTGTACCCAGGAGGAAGAAGCTCGAGAAACGCGAAGCTAGTCCTCTAGTCCAACAGAACACCGATTCTTTGGAATCTAGAGACGACGAGCTGAAGGAGTCTATCGAAACTGCCGTGAGTTCGATCAGCAGCATACCTCAGAAAAAAGGAATCAGCGACTATTCGACGGCAGGCGATTCCAGTCCTGCTGCCCCTACTTTGGTCGAGTCCCCGCAAAGTACGGTGCAGCCTCCGACGACGATGGTCAATCACGTCACGTCCAATCACGTTACGACCAGCATGACGGTCACGGCGATGGTGCACACCACCACCACGGCGAACGGGAAACGCTTGACCAGGACCGAATCCTATCAGGAGGAGGTGATAGAGGACGAAGAGTACCCAGAGATCATTCCGAAGGAACCGCAGAGGAAAGATTCGCAATTGTCACATCAAAGCCAACTCAGTCAGCATTCTTCTCAGCACAGCCAACATTCTCAGAAACCGAAACTCACCAGAGGCGATTCGTATGCTTCCGATCATTATCCTGAAGAATCGTACAGCAGAAGAAGTTCGTACACGCAACCCACCAGAAAGGATTCCTTCTCTTCGACCACGCAGGAGAACTTCAAACCACATCTTGCTAGGACTGACTTTTATCAGAAGAGAGACTGCTTGGGGCAGAGCTTCTCTGGTCCTCAGCCGATCTCCAGAGCGGAGAGCTATCAACGGGGATATTTCAAGGATCAGGAATCTATTGAGGAGCCGGAAGTCATCAGTAATGCAGTGAACGACGACTACAAGATGAGGGACGAGCCTCTTGAAAGGTACATTGAAATTCTTGGATGACCTTAGGTTTCAGTTCCTTTAAATCGATGTACTCTGTATGTACAGAAATGTCTGTATCTCTAGAGTCCTATGTCTACAAACTTTTATATTCTTAGACCTTTATAGTCCCATTGAAATAATGTTACTTTGAGTCCGATAAAAATGACATCCTTGTTAACTTGCAAATTAGTTACAATTATTAAGTAACAAGTTGATCCATGTATCTGATAATTAATTCGAATTATTTGTCTTTGAAGGTACGAACGAGGCGATGAAGCGATGCTTCGTAGCTCTCGAGAGGGCTCGTTGGTGGACACGTACAAAACGACACCGCCTATGTCTCACACCGAGAGTCCACGTGGTAAGTATACTTTTCAATCTCCCGTCAATAATAACTTTAAATTATTAATAATAATTAATAATAATTTTAATCGTACATTTACAGGGAGTATAACGAAACAAGCGTCCTTAGAAGAAAGTGTTCAAATGGACACTCCACCAAGGAGTCCACCGGAACCACCACCTGACGAGGAGCTTCTCGAGATGGTCGGTGCAGCACCTGTGCCTACGCAGCTGAAGGAACGACCGGAAATGACAGCGAGACAACGATGGCATTGGGCGTACAACCAAATTGTCATGCAGCTACGGGTGAGTAATACCCGTTAAAATAACCCACGTTGAGCGATTGTAGGAATAGAAATCACCGCGTCGAAGTGGAACGAAAATAACTTTCCGTTTCATCGTTAGTCAACGACCTTACCGGCGACCTTCCGAAATATGCGCCGACGAATGCCAACCCGCATTTTATTAGTCCTTCGTCGATACAACTATGGCCTTGTCGATCATTACCTTCGCTGTGTACCGATTTGTCACGTGTACTTGTCACTTTACGTATTGCATCTACGGGTTCTGTATTCTATCGTGCGACGACATTCATCAATGTTTCATAAGGTCGTGCCGAGTTCGTTGACCTGCGACTGTGATGGAACATTTTTGATAGTTGCGTGTGGGTCGTTCGAGAACGATTGGAAGTGTAGGAAATATTGATTAGTGACAGGGATTTGTTACTGTACTGATTGATAGTGACAGTGGAAATGAATGTGGGTGGAGAGATATATTGAAACAGTTGCTATTATGATTATATATATTGTATGTAGGTAGAACTTTTTAAAATTGTAGAAGGAGGTTCATTTATCAAAATTTTTTGGGTACATTTGTTTCGAAATTCCGAAGACTCAGAGTTCTAAGATTCAGAAATTGTTTCAGACAAAGATTAAAAAAATTCTGAAGCCCTGAGTTCTAAAGTAAAGTTGAAATATTTCAAAGTTCTGAGGTGTCGACAATTTTAAAGTGAAACTGTATGAGAATTAAAAAATTTCCCAATCTTTCAAACTTGTCAAACTCATGAAGTCCAAAAGTTCCAAACTTCTAAAATATCAGAGGTCCAAGATTCCAAACCTGGACTTACAATCCCTAAATTAAAAATTTTTAAGTCCAAGAATCCCAAATTAAGAAAACGTAATAAAATAATTAGTTAAACAACCGATAAAAGTAGCAGTTTAAATTGAAATTCGCCAGGATCGCAATGGAACATCGGAACGCAAATGTAACGCACATACCAGAAAGCAGAAACGGCGAACACATAAATTACGAGCAATATGCCGCGATATCGCGTTGGAAACAATAGTCGTAGCGTTATCTTCGCCGGCTATTGTAAACGTACAATGAATGTTCATTAACGGGAAGAAATACGAGATTATGTAGACGAACACGCTTACACATACATAGAATGACAGGATACGATAGCGAGTGCAGTAATGTTTATTTCTCCATTCGCGCGAACACGCGAGAAGCTTGAAAAAGATTTTGAAATTAAGCCTCGAAAGGAGACTCCGGGTGAAATAAAGTGTGCGTTTACCCGGCTGTCTTGTTACCTTGAAAATACGTCGCTCGTCAGAGTCACGAGCGTGGATTAACAGGCGGTGACACGAAACTTCCATTAACGCAACCTTGTCGCCCGATCGTGGCGCCCTAAGTACGCACCTGGCGCGCTCCTGGGAGTCGGACTTCTGATATCGTGTACTGGATCGTTCAAAAATGGATAATCGTTCTTTACTGTTATACTCTTTTCGGTGGAGAAATTTTTTGGTTAATACGTTTGGGGATTTAGAAGTTGGAATTTGGGAATTTGGGAATTTGGAAATTGGGAATTTGGGAATTTGGGAATTTGGGAATTTGGGAATTTGGGAATTTGGGAATTTGGGAATTTGGGAATTTGGGAATTTGGGAATTTGGGAATTTGGGAATTTGGGAATTTGGGAATTTGGGAATTTGGGAATTTGGGAATTTGGGAATTTGGGAATTTGGGAATTTGGGAATTTGGGAATTTGGGAATTTGGGAATTTGGGAATTTGGGAATTTGGGAATTTGGGAATTTGGGAATTTGGGAATTTGGGAATTTGGGAATTTGGGAATTTGGGAATTTGGGAATTTGGGAATTTGGGAATTTGGGAATTTGGGAATTTGGGAATTTGGGAATTTGGGAATTTGGGAATTTGGGAATTTGGGAATTTGGGAATTTGGGAATTTGGGAATTTGGGAATTTGGGAATTTGGGAATTTGGGAATTTGGGAATTTGGGAATTTGGGAATTTGGGAATTTGGGAATTTGGGAATTTGGGAATTTGGGAATTTGGGAATTTGGGAATTTGGGAATTTGGGAATTTGGGAATTTGGGAATTTGGGAATTTGGGAATTTGGGAATTTGGGAATTTGGGAATTTGGGAATTTGGGAATTTGGGAATTTGGGAATTTGGGAATTTGGGAATTTGGGAATTTGGGAATTTGGGAATTTGGGAATTTGGGAATTTGGGAATTTGGGAATTTGGGAATTTGGGAATTTGGGAATTTGGGAATTTGGGAATTTGGGAATTTGGGAATTTGGGAATTTGGGAATTTGGGAATTTGGGAATTTGGGAATTTGGGAATTTGGGAATTTGGGAATTTGGGAATTTGGGAATTTGGGAATTTGGGAATTTGGGAATTTGGGAATTTGGGAATTTGGGAATTTGGGAATTTGGGAATTTGGGAATTTGGGAATTTGGGAATTTGGGAATTTGGGAATTTGGGAATTTGGGAATTTGGGAATTTGGGAATTTGGGAATTTGGGAATTTGGGAATTTGGGAATTTGGGAATTTGGGAATTTGGGAATTTGGGAATTTGGGAATTTGGGAATTTGGGAATTTGGGAATTTGGGAATTTGGGAATTTGGGAATTTGGGAATTTGGGAATTTGGGAATTTGGGAATTTGGGAATTTGGGAATTTGGGAATTTGGGAATTTGGGAATTTGGGAATTTGGGAATTTGGGAATTTGGGAATTTGGGAATTTGGGAATTTGGGAATTTGGGAATTTGGGAATTTGGGAATTTGGGAATTTGGGAATTTGGGAATTTGGGAATTTGGGAATTTGGGAATTTGGGAATTTGGGAATTTGGGAATTTGGGAATTTGGGAATTTGGGAATTTGGGAATTTGGGAATTTGGGAATTTGGGAATTTGGGAATTTGGGAATTTGGGAATTTGGGAATTTGGGAATTTGGGAATTTGGGAATTTGGGAATTTGGGAATTTGGGAATTTGGGAATTTGGGAATTTGGGAATTTGGGAATTTGGGAATTTGGGAATTTGGGAATTTGGGAATTTGGAAATTGGAGATCTTGAGATTCGGGGTATGAAAAATTTGGAGAACTTAGGAATTTGGGGGATTGAGAATTTCAGAACTTAGCAATTTTGGGGCAAGCTGAATTTGGAGAATATAGAAATTGGGGGGCGCAGAAATTTGAAATATTGGAAATTCGGAAATTTGTGCATTTGGAAAATTGGAGATTTGGGAATTTAGGAATTGGGGACACTGGAAATTTGAAAATATGGCGATTGTGGAACAAGTTGAATTTGGAGAACTTAGAAATTCGGGGGTGTCGAAATTTGGAATGTTGGAAATTCGAAAATTTGTGAGTCAGAATTTGGCGATTTTGGAATAAAATAAAAGAGAATTTATAAATTCGTAACTTTGTGAATTTAGCAATGACTAAAAAATTGATCTGCCAAAGCTCAATGAATTAATTTTGAAACAGTCTGTACATACAGAGAGAAATTCTAGCACAATGGAAAATGTAAATTCGCATAGCCAACACAGAGAGGGCGAAGTTGTCCGATTGCGACAGGATTGTTTGCTCTCGTAAGTCCAGCTCTGAAAATTGCACCGGAATCAGCCAGGTTTGAATTGATGCAGTTGAACTGGCTGCGAATATACAATTTGCATTTCCTCCGAATCGATCACGAAGATGCAAAACATTTGCGTCAATGTTGCGCTTGTACTCGCGTTCGTCGGAACTGCGTTTAATCAAAGATTTAATTGTACAATGGAGACCGGTGTAATTTCGTTTTGGATAGCTGGTATGCGATAATTTAGACGCGTAAAATGTTCCAGCTGTTGAGAATACGGTTTGATGAACGTGAAATGCAGTTAACCCCTTCGTTGTGGTTCTCTCTTTGTGTAGGCGATATTTGATGAACGATTCGTTTATTAATTAAAATCATGGTGGTCAAATTATGTTGGGATGCAGATTTCTGTAATTTATAGTTTTAATTGTGTGTCCGAGATATTTTTATAATGTTATTGTATATTATTTTTATAATGATAAATTTTATAATTATTTTTACAATGCAGTATAATATAAAATAATAAGGTAATATAATAAGATCATCGTTCATGTTACGAAGGATTCTTTCATTTATCTAATTTTAATTGAAATATTTATGCATTCTCGAAGTAAATTAAACTGAACGACCCTTTCATGGACGTACAAAAAATTTCGCAGCGCTTTACGTACTTCCGCGTCAACTTCGATCCCAATCTCGTCGCTTTAGAAAAAGACCATAGCAGCTTGTAACGTTATTCGATTAATTCACAGTCAGACCCCTTTGTAATGGATTGAATACATTTGAATGCATTTGTACGTAACACCTATGGGAGCAATTGTAGATCAAAAGCTTGACAGAGACGATAATTGAAATTTCACGTAACTTCATAGAAGTGAAATTACTTCCACGTATTACGCCGCCTACTTCAGCCGAGCATTACTCATTTCCACATACCTATATCGGAAGAACCATCGAGCACAATTATTACTCGGGATATAACTAAAACTGATTTAAAGATCAATACCGTAAGAATACATCTACGTCTTACGACAAATATATTCCTTTTCAAGACAGTCACTTTTATTGAAAATTCATAGACCTCACTCCTCATTTTATCTCTCAATTTGAAACGAGTAAATTATTTATATTACATTAAAAATGGAGTAAATTATTCATACTACTTCTAATATTAATATTCGGGGGTTTTTCGAAAGTCTCGAGTGCAACGAACGATGCTCGAGATTAGTTCACGAATATCCAGCTACCTCCGTATATTTTTCAACTGCAAGTAACAAGGATCGTTTATCCGAAAAGCTCAGGGCGATACGGGGCTTTTTGCCGGCTGTAACCGTTTGACTGAAGCGATTTGCAAGAGCTCAGAGATGTCAGCGTCCGTTACCGTCATATCTATATTCCTTATTCGCTGCGATCCGCTGCAACGGCTTT